CTAACTTACACGGTCCAATTATTTTACTAGACTAACGGCATGCAGGATTTCCAGACGCCAGCTATTGGCAGTGCGTCCTAGACGTATCCCGTTCCTCTGAAAATAGGAGTAGCTCTTCCTGTTTCTGCTACCAAAATTTTGTTAATGGTCCTAAAAATCATTTGGCGGCTGGTCACAAGACTATCGCTAAGTCCACCTCCAGGTCCTGATATTACCCAACGCCTTCTCAGGTGAACCAAAAGATAAACATTTTAGGTGCGTTTTTTGCATTAGTCTGAAAAAGAGTTTATTTGTTGACCTTGGAAGTGAACCCTAAAACCACCTAAGTTCAATCAGTACTAAACTTGCGTTTAACCCCTGAGGGCGACTTACCTGCGAGTATGCACTTATATTCACATCAAGTGAGTGCGCTTATGACCTTTTCCTACTTTACCATTTAGTCCACATTACACTTTTTTTTCACAGATCAAGCGTCTGCACAGGCCGGAGGATTTAATGAGAAGCCTAAAAATGAGGCGCCGCCAGCACCACCGCCTCAACTTTATTGCGAATTGTGCAAGATAAGTTGTTTTGGACAAGCTTGCTTTGACGCACACATGGTTGGCCAGAAACACAAGAAGAGGGCGTCTCAACAAGAGGTAATGACTCGCAACCTTTTGTGATTATATTTTTTTTTCGGCGCAATTTGAACAAGCGTGCGGCTAGGTAGCGGATAGGAGCAGGGAAAGATGAATTAGATTACAATTTTGGCTTATCGTATTTCATCACTGGTGATTTACCCCTTTTCTGTAGTCTATTATGTGCGTTTGATGACTGTTTACGTATTTTTTATTCGGCAGTCTTGTTTCCTGTAGGCCACAGACCTTGGAGCAAGCCTTGTTTCATTTATTTTTAGAAGGTATTAATTTCTGGTGGAGCTTAGTCATTGAAAAGCTTTATCGTCAGTGGTAGAGGTCATAAAACTATCACTTCTGGCGTAACAGTCCGTTACCCCCGAATTCCAGACTGCACGTCCAATGTTCGAGCTCAAGTAATGCCTCACGTCGTATCGGTTAGTATGAAGAAATATTCCGTCACGTGGACAGATCACGCACTGATCTATCCTGATTACGTTACCGAAATGTTAGCTTCCGCCCCGTAATCAGGACCGATCGGTGCATTACATGCCCACACGATAGTATTGCATTGTTTAGCCGATAATCAGCACGCACCTAATCGCTTCTGCTATTCGAGACGATTTTGCTCCGTCAGAACCCTCTGCAGAAAATACAGTTGCCGTTATTTGTTAGTGCGTTTGCTTAGTCAAAAAGTATGTGCGCACCAAGGAAGAGAGCCTGCGGACCATCAAGCGCCACACAACCCTAAAGCCCTGCATCCTTCTCTGCCAAACTAGACATAAGTGAGCCCAAATGGCATGTGCCAGT